ATTTCTGCATGATCGATAACTGATTACGTTTACGATTAAATATCGTATACTATTTCCCTGATTAGCCCATACTTTTGTTATATTATTAGAAAGCTGAAAAGTTCTTTTTTCACTAAACACTGAAAAAGGACTCTAATACAGATGACATTCACTATTTTTTAAAGACGTTAATAAGTATTATACTCGATTACTTTTTGGGACACATAATTCTTCTATGTTCTAATTTACTTCATATAATCCTTTTAGCGTATTGGGGATACGTCATCTACGGCGCTTGCTCGCTAAAGAATTAAATTGTTTATTATTCATAACGAAAAAACTTCTACTCAGTCGTCACCAGATCTTACTTTCGTAAGAATCAATTGAATTATTATTTTTATTATTCATAATTGAAAAACCGTAAAGCTTCTCATCACCTGAGCTTGTTCCCCAAAAAATTAAAGAAAAGAGAGTTGAGCTCTTCTACGGCACTTGATCGTCCAAGCATTAACTTATTTGTTATTAAAAATAAAAAATATCATTCAGTCGTCACTATGGCTCACTTTCTTAAAAATTCTTCTACTATTATTTACGAATAAAAAACAGTTAAGCTTAACACCTGCGCTTTTTCCACAAAAATTAATTCAGTTATTATTTATAAGAAAAACAGAGTTTAGATCCTCATTTGTGGCGCTAGTTTGCCTGAGCATTAAATATTTACTATTTACAGTTACAAAAAAGTTCATTAATTCATCCAAGTACTCACTTGCTTGAGCAATCAATTACTTAAGATTTATAACTAAAAAATAGTGAAGCATCTTATCGCCTGCGCTTATTTCCCGAAAATTAATTTGGTTATCACTTATAATTTACAGAAAGTTAAGTTAATTATCATATGAGAAAAATATGTATTCAGTTATTGCAAGCGTTTAATTCCTTAAAAGATAATTTAATTCTTATTTATAAATAATAGATAAGATGTTCATCACCTACCCTTGTTACCCAAAAAACTAATGTAGTTATTATTTATAAGAAAAAAAGAATTAGACTCTCCAATACGCAGTTTTTACAGGCAAAATAATTCTTTAAGAAAGTGTGAATCTCCGCACTAAAAGAATTCATGTAAGACATACTTATAACACTCTTAAAGTTGTCAAAAAGAATTATAATAAGCATTACTGTGAGCATTCATTGAGCATACTAAAAATGATAATTTGTAATACTGTAATGTTAATTTTAAGTGCTTGCCAACTTTAAAGCTATGAGAATACTTTTCAAATTCGTATATGTTACTAAAACTAAACATAAAATATCACATAAAAACTTATTTATGCGTATAAAACAAAAAAAATTTTGAAAATTTTTTTACTTATTTTACATTTAATTATAAAAGATTTGAAGGGGAATATCAGAGTTTTTAGATTAATTTAAACAAAAACTCTGGCATCCCCGTTACAAAAGAATTGCAAGATATCAAAGGTTTGTGTCATCAGACCACATTAGTTCTGGTAGTTTTATATGATTCGAGAAAAAAAACTTTTAGTTTTGAGATGTGTCGCATTTTGATATGTATCAGACGTCCAGTTTTTTGCTGGCAAAGAATGAAGATTCTACGCTTGTAGTCTATGGCTCTTTTGAAAAACTAGAAAAAGTATATATTTTTGTGTTTCTTATAATATTAATACACTAACATTCAAACACTGAAAAAGGACTCTAATAAAGATGACATTCACTATTTTTTAAAGACGTTAATAAGTATTATACGCGATTACTTTTTGGGACACATAATTCTTCTATGTTCTAATTTACTTCATATAATCCTTTTAGCGTATTGGGGATACGTCATCTACGGCGCTTGCTCGCTAAAGAATTAAATTGTTTATTATTCATAACGAAAAAACTTCTACTCAGTCGTCACCAGATCTTACTTTCGTAAGAATCAATTGAATTATTATTTTTATTATTCATAATTGAAAAACCGTAAA